CGGACCTCCCGGCCCCGCCCCGCACCCCGCCCACAGCAACCTCCAGCTCCAGGATCCGGAATTCCAGCAGCTCGTTTTGGTCTTTCCCGTCCTGGACCTCGTGTTTCAACCGAGCCTCTTCCGTCTCCATTTGTTTAATCTGTAAAATAAAGATGGACGAGGTGGTGGCGGTCACGCGAGGTCAACTCCCGGGCTTTCCCGGCGCTGCCAGCTGTCCGTGGGGACTGTGCCCAGCCTGGGCGCCCAGCCCAGTGCCCTCCGTCCAGCCTGGGTCTGTGCGTGTCCGGCCTAGTGGTCTGGGTGAGTCCTACCCCTCGGCTAATTGTGCGTGCGAGTGTTTGCATGTGCACGGGAGCCTTACGTGTGCAAGTGTTGTGTACAGGTGAGCATTTAAGTATGCACATGCTTCAGTGTGCACCCTTTCAATGTGCACAAGGGCATGTATGTGTGTTTACAAGTGCTGTGCGCACACGTGCGTGTTTACCCGCGCACACACCTTTTCCACCAGCTCTTGGTTTCTCCGGTACAGCGCCTGCTTCTCCTCGATCCACTTCATGTCCTTGAACATGGAGAGGGAAGGGCGGTAAGTGCCCGCGGGACAAATCGCGAGGCCGACGCTTAAACCGCAGCTTGGGGGCACAGAGGACCGCACGGAAGACTGCACCAAAGGCCCCGTCGCGTGGCTTCGGACGTGGCTGCGTCATCGCAGCTTACGTCACGCAGCGGACAGCTCCTCCCATTTTCTCAGAGGGCCCGGGATGGACAGCAGGCGGGGACACCCGGCTCCGGTCGTGCCCCACGTGCCACGCGTGGCCCAGGCGACACCCACCTGCCCCTGCTCGGCCAGGGCCCTCTCCAGGTCCTCGATCCGCGTCTGCGCCCTGTGCGCCTCCGCCTGCAGCTGCTCGCGGGTCTGTGGGGCGGGAGGAGGGACGTCAAACTTTCCCTGAGAGCGGGGACAGGCCGGCACGCGGAGGGCGGGCCGGGCTGCTGGCCCTGCTAGTGCAGAGGAGGCGTCCACAGCTCTGCAAGGACGTCCCGCCCGGGGCCTTCGAGCTGGATGCCAAGCAAGCGACCTCCCGGGGTCGCGGGGTGACCGTGGTTCCCGCTGAGGGACTGTTGGGGGAATCCTCCTTCACAGGCTCTCCCTGTCTGATCTC